ATCTGCCTAGCTTTATTACATGGGATGACCCTATTTGGAATCCATCTCCCTCATCTCAAACAAAGCTACAGTCCCCATTTTGTCTCCTTGCAGTTACGAGGCATCCAAGGTGGTAAAAGTGGTAATAAGCCAATGCTCAAGGAGCCAGAGCAAAGGGCTTGTGAGCTTGGAAGTCCTGGTCCTGATTCTCCTCTGACTTGCACTGTGTTTGCAGCACTGTAGCCCCATTGAGTTAAATGGCGTTACTTTGAAACTATGCCAGCATAACAGCAGAGGGGAATTGGGACCTCTGAGTTTAAACCCCAGCTGAGTCACTGACCGATTGGCATTGTCTTCACTAGATTTATTTTCCTAAAACTTCCCACCATTGCAGCTTCACCAGCAGTAGCGGTAGTGTAGAAAAGGCACTGACTGCTGCTGGTGTTTTAACCACTGTTAAAGTAGCCTAGATGAAAGAATGGTTAAAATGCTGGTGGCTGGTCTTCACTTGGGCTTCCATCACTGCTAACACTGGAGAAATATTAAATCCACTGCTCTGGGATCACTGGGATTCCACTTCACACTTGCAAACACTGAAGAAAACTGCTGCTAATGCACCACCAAGGCTTAAAGATAGTGTCCAGGGAATGAAAGGGGCAGCAGAGGTGCAAGGGAGTGAGCTACAGTGATCAGCTTCATCGTATTTTCATCAGAGTAAAAGCTGTAATAATACACAGTCTGGAGATACAGTGAGACCTAGATAATCCACACTAATAGATGTACCTAGATGACTGGCTATTTGAAGGAATGAAGTGTTGATTTTACTGCCTGAGCCAAAGGGACAGCTGATTTGCTAATCTGAAGATTTTCTTTAAGTCTGTATAGCTTGGCCTTTTCTACAGAGGAGTGGATTATGGAAAAACAAACTATGGAGCAGATTCTCTCTTGGCTGCACCCGTGAACCCCTTTATACTGGGACCTGAAAGCTCTTCTAAATTGTGCTAGCTTCCCATGGTCCAAAGGGACTGTTATAGCTGTAGCAGGATCACCAGAGCAGACAATTGTTCTTCTTTTTCAAGGTTGAGGTCAATTTTCCTGGCAATGTGGGGAAGTTCACTCTGCCAGTGCTTATTTGCTTTACTTCTTCAGTTTCTAGGGCTGTCAGTCTGGCACCCTTCATGAGCACCAACCTTATTCTCACACTCAAAGATATTAATAAAATAAAATAGTAGCAATAAATTTGAATGCTATGTAAATAAAGGATTCTTTAGTGAACAAAGCCAAATTTCAAGTATTGGCAGGAAACTATCACTTAGCAATTGTTACATATTCCTCTTGCCAGGTGTTGTTGGGAGCAGCAGGGACTGGGATCAAATAGCTATGGGTTCCTCCTAAAATTCACAAACACCACTAGCTCAAGCCCTAAGGTAGAATTTCTGGAATCACTACATACCTTCTTTGGGCATTCTTACTAGGCAAAACTTCCTCACTTCCAAGTACTAAGTCTGTGTATGAAACAAGGAAAACTTTATTTGGGAAAATAAAGCAACAATATGTATATATGAAGGATAGGTAAAATACTCTCCCATAGTAACTTTTGCAGTAGGCTGATAACCCAGTTCCCCACCCACCAGTAGGAACATCGAATAGGCAAACATCCCTTTACCACATCACTTCCCCCTTCTACATCTGCTAACCCCAACTCACGGTTTGGAGTCAGTAGATAGCATAATCCAAAAGTCTTGAGGTACATTCTGAAAGGCCTCTGTCCAATTCCTTGGAAAGTACTGCTGGGTCCTATCTTCAGGCTCCAATACCTAACCCAGTTATAGTAACTATAGCTTTATTTAGCAACTAGTTAGGAAGAACCTAACTGGAGCTCAGCCAGTTCTACTACAGTAATCTGCAATATCAACAGTCCTTCCCATAACACACAAGCCTCAGTACTATGTAACCTTCATCATAATCCTTAATATATCATAGAAACCTTTTTCTTTGCAAGTACTTCAGTTCCAGTACCCAGCCCGTTCTGAGTTTGTGAATAGTTATGGTGACTGTGACTGTGATTGGAGGAATTCTGGGTAGAAAGCTTATGCAAATGAAGCTCTCTCTCTGTAGCAATAATTCCTCCTGTTAGCCAACAGATAGTGCCAGAAAGCTCCTTACCTTTTAAAGCCTTCACATTAGTTTAGCTGCAGCCTTTGATTAGGGTACAGATTCCTTTCAGTCAAAACATTGGCCAAGATCCAGAAAGGTATTTAGATGCCTCAGCCCAGATGTAGATACCTAAGTCCCAGTTTTATGTAGCACTGTGATCCAAGAAACCCCTGCTTGGTTGTCACCTAATCCCTAGTGCCTAAACTCACTTGGCTCTTATAATTCCCCTGTAAAAGTTCCCCAGCTGCTTATGTTTCTGCTTGCAGGCATGCACATTGGTGCCTCCCTCTAGGTGTCCAGACACCTTTCTGATGCCTAAGCCCCAGCATGATCCAAGCGAGCTAGGTACTCGTGTGCCTTTCTTGTCCATTCCAGATAGTGGTGGTGCCACTGCCCCCCTTATACCTTCTTGCTTCATGGTCAGAGCACTCACCCAGGCTGGGGTAGATGTGGGTGGGTTCAATTCCACCTGCTGTCTGAGGGGAGAAAGGATTTGAACAGGGGTCTCCCATCAGGGTGCCTTAACCACGGGGCTATGGGATATTCTGATTTGGGGCTCTCTCTCAATCTCTAAAGTTGAGGCTATTTCACTATGTAAATACTTACATAGTCACTGGGCCAGAGAGAGAGAGAGAGAATCACTGTACATCCTGACCCAGGGTCCAGTCTCCCTGCTCTAATGACTCTAATTATTTATCCAGAGTAGAATGCCTTCAACAGGTGAGAGTAAGGGAGACCTGTGATGATTCCCAGGGGTACCTGTGGCTGTGAGGCACCTGCCACCTTCCCTTAGCATGAAGAAGCCTTGACTGTGTCTGCTGGGGGTCAGCTCCCCAACTCCACTGGCCACAGGCAACCCATGCACTCACCTCTGTACTTACACAGGCCCTGCTGTCCCTCTACAAGTTAGCCATAGGCACACTCCAACCCTTGAGCCCTCTAAGCATCTCCCTAGAATGTCCAGCCCCTGATCCACTGGACACTCACAGTAGTCACAGATTTGCTGCTTCCAAAGGAACACTCCAGCTTACCAGTTCCACCCCAAATCACGGATCCGCTTAACACGCAGCACTTAGAGGTGTTTATAGTGAAATAAAGTAAAAGTTTATTTAACAAAGCAGAGAGATTTAAGTGACAGCAAGTTGAGGTATTGGAAACAAATGGTTACATATAAAATGAAATCCTAACATGCATTCTAGAGCCTAGACTTAAACTAGATACTCTCATGTCTCATAGAGAAATGCTCACCCAAAGTCCTTCCAGCCAGTGACCCTCCTTTCAGAAGACAAACACGCTGTTAGCTTGTCTCCTCGGTGAAGGATACCCTGTGTTTCTTTGTATTTCCTGATATACCTTTGGTTTTTATCATAAACAGGACATCCCCCTGTAGATTGCCGTTTCCTGTAGATTTTCTTTCTTGTAGATTTTGCAATCTTTCAGCTGGTATCTGGCTCATTATGCACATAGGCATCCCAGATTTTAAGAACATATATTTTTACTTTAGATACATAATTCCTTAAATATTATCCATCCATACATTTCACAATGATTATGATGACCAATTGGCTCATGGCTCTTGGTAGAGACCTCACATAGCAGCCTTTGGAGAACTATTATGTATATATCTGACCCAGGGGATGCATGTAAAAACCCTACACATCCCTTGTGTCTCTGCCAATTGACACCGACACAAACCCCACATCAGAATATCTCATAGCTCAGTGGTTAGGGCTCTCTCCTGATTGAGAAAGGCACTTAGCTCATGGTTGCAAGAAACAGTTTAGGTACTTAAGCTGCCTGACTCCCAGAGAGGGGTTCCTGACTGGGGATCAGAAGCAGAGATAGGGGCCTTTCTCCAGCCCAGAGTTAGGTGCCTAAATCTGTGAGAGGGGTGGGGCCTAGTGTGCTGGCTTTTGGGGATCCCATTCTTAGGTGCCTATCTCTCCCCATTCATTGTATAGGAAGCCGAGGCATCTAATTCAACGTTGTGGATCCTGCTGATGTTCCAGACATTTCCTAGGTGCCTAAAGGCTTTAGAAGCACTTAGTAGATATACTGACCTTTTGGAGTCTTGGTGAAAAGCATGAGAGCAGAATCAGGCACTAACGCCAAAATGTTCAAAGTTGAGTTCCAAATTAGACACTTATTAAAACTGGCCTCTGGTGCTGAGCACCCACAGTCCCCTGGGAGTCAGTAGAAGCTGCCGGTGCTCCACAGCTTTGAAAATCAGACAACTAATTTGCAGAGATAGCGAGTTGCTGAAGCTCCTACTGACTCTTCCATCTACCAGCATTTTTCAGGCATTTATGACCCTGGTGTCTGAGCACTCTGGGTGCCAATCTCACTCGTCTTTCTTCTATACCATTTCAAGACTCCATCTTTATTCTGCCCCTTCAGCTAAAACTCTCATTCAGGTTCTCAACACTTCCCATCTTAACTACTATCACTTCTTCCCCACTGGACTCCCTGACATCCACACTGACCTCCTTGTGCATACAAAAACCAGCTGCTCAGATCTTCATCCTTGCCTGTTGTTTTGACCATTTCATCTCTCTCTCTGAAACCCTCAGCTGGTTCCCTCTTTCTCGACCAACCTTGTTGTCCTGGTCTTCAAAGCCCTGCATAGCTTTCCCCGCCTCTACTTTACTTATCTCATTTCCACCCCACCTCCAGCCCAACAAATGTCTGATATCCAGTTTGTTCACTTCTGCCATCATCATCTCCATGTTGTCTTTCACACTGCTTCCTAGGCATAGATATCCTTCCTGAGCTGTCTCTGAGAGACTTACTTCTGATGGTATGTTTACAAGAAACTAGCCAACTAATAATGACTAGATAGAGGAACACTATATAAATCCTATATAATCCTATATAATCGTAATCCTATATAAAATGTCTGTATATTTTATCTGTTTCCAGACCTAACCCCATTTCTTTTCTTCATAGAACATAGGCTTTTGGACTGTCACTTTCCATGTCTGTCTGCATTTAGCACACTGTGGATGCTGTAATTAATAATAAAAGACATAGTTCACTAGTGTGAACACCTGTAGCAACTGTGTAGAAAGTAGTTGCAATGTTGATTTTTCAGTAACAATATGTAATGGACGAGTTTGCCAAGCAGTAAAGCTTTGGAGAATGGCATAATAATGGGAAACAGTATTGCGGCCAATGCACATACCTTAAGCCAGACATGTACATCCATAATTGAGCACCTAATGTAAATAAGTCACCTGATTTTCAGAGGCGTCAGTGGGCGTTTGTGGCTGCTCAGCAACTGTGAAAATAAACCAGGCCACTTTTGTTTAGGTTCCTAACACCCAAGCTTGAAAATGTCAGCCTATGATTCATGATTTAAAGAGAGAGAGACATTAAATTGTGTATGGTGGACTTGCAGGGAGTTTTGCACAAATTAGAATGTTTCCATTCCACACAGTTGATCAATGTAGGATTTCAACATATCATACAATTGCTTTACAATGATTTTCCCTGTACAGAGCATTGGCACTGTCCTTTTCAGTCCATTTTGAGTGTGGTGGAAGGTTAATGGGAGGTTTCCATAAGGTATCCAGATGGCTGGGGCTGGCTCTGAGATACACGGAGGGTTTAAAGAAGCTTTTGACCCAAAATGAAAAACAGAAGCCATGAGTGGTGTCGGCTTCCAAGTTACTCATTTTCCTGTGAAATCCTTGACTGACACTCAAGCTGACTGGGGAGTTGGATTTGTAACAGCCTGCTGCCGTTAGCGCTACACTGTTGCTCTAAGGCTGTGAGAAGTCAGATGTGTCAGCCATTAGCCATAGACGTACAGTACAAGGTTATAGCAGATGTCCTGAAAACTTGGACGGCCTCATTCTTGTGGGTGAGTTAAAGAACTGAGAGTTAACAAATCAAATACCCTTGAAGGCCAGCACTTGTCCCTGAGTATTACCTTTGTACTAGTAGCTAAGGATTCGCTTGTATTCATAGCTTGTCTAGCTTTTTTTTTCAAACCCACATGCTAGTTTCTAACTCACTCTCTTTCCTTTGAACTTAGCTGTTCTTTAGATAAGGCTCCCCTCCCCTCCTGGGACTCAGTAAAGATTTTTACATCCACTAGGTTATTTTACAGCAGGTTTAACCCATTTTCCAAGTATGGCTTCAAGCACTTGGCCCAAAGAATTAACTCTAAGGGCCAGATCCTCAGCTGGCATAAGCCAACCATAGCTCCATAAAGACCTTTAAAAGAAAAGGGTCCATAAAAAGGCTACAAAGTGAGAACTCTTCTGAAGGGGAGAGGAGAGCCCAGGGAATGAAGTTCTGCGCAGCTACAGGGCACTTTTTCTGATAACTCTGCCATTTATACTGTCAGAAACAGTCCCATGGCTCTGGCTGATGGAGTCAAGTCTGAAATTAAGTCTCTTGCTGAACAAAGGAGTAATTGACAATAACTGATCTCTCAGGCTGTGACCTGTGACCTGTGAGCATGCAGTGTTATTTGGGGCTCTCCAGCCACAGTTTAGAGACTTCAAACCGTCCTCTCCCCATTTAGATTTCATTAGTCTTGTCTTCAAATGGCACTCTTGGGGTACGTCTACACTTACCTCCGGGTCCGGCGGCAGGCAATCGATGTTCTGGGATTGATTTATTGCGTCTGGTCTAGACGCGATAAATCGATCCCGGATCGATCCCGGAAGTGCTCGCCGTCGACGCCGGTACTCCAGCTCGGCGAGAGGAGTACGCGGCATCGACGGGGGAGCCTCCCTGCCGCATCTGGACCCGCGGTAAGTTCGGACTAAGGTACTTCGAATTCAGCTACGTTATTAATGTAGCTGAATTTGCGTACCTTAGTCC